GACAGACCGTCGTGGGGAAGGGGAAGGGTGGAGCAGTAGTACATTCACATATGTCAAATACAGTAAACCTGACAGAGGCAGATCCGCACAGACCATTGAACAAACGCAGGCCATATATTGTCTCAAACTAGCAGTGTCTCAAAGTAGCAGTACTATTGTCTTCGTCATCATCATCAGCATGGTGAATGCTGGCAATGGCAACATGTCGTTGGATGACGCTACTCGTTAAGCAGATCAACATATGTAAATGTAACTTTGTATCGAATCTGTACGTGTGTGAGCGTTTTTGTTGAACTGTGTTCATGCGGTTGTTGTTTTTGAAGTTTGTGCAAGAAAACCTCAATATGAGGCGAAGACTGAAGTGAACAGCATGAATCTCTACCCGTGCGACCCCCACAAAATTTCGAACCTCCCGCTTAGCCCCCTGACGGTAATGGATCTCCCAATTGTCGACATGCCCCGCACAGGTATGGCTAAGTGTTTCTTCGACGTTGTGATGGGTATTCCCACGTGTTCAATCCCAAAATCACAACGGCGCTGCAGGACAAATCCACAGCATCCACAGCATCACTCCCAGCCCGGTCTGGTCATGCAAGATCGAGTGAAGCACCTATCAGGCTTGACCTCGCTATCCTGAAACGTGACAATGAAAAGGTTTGTGCAGTCAAAATCATCACTCTCAAAAACAAGGTGAACGTCGATGTCACTTCTGCTATGTGTTACGGAAAACCTTATGTGGTGAATTGGGCAGGCGAAGGTAAAAACCATGAAGAAACGTGCTCACTTTATCTTCGAGAAACTTGGAGGGCATCAATTTCGAGAACACGAGCTTCGCACTGCCAAGGAGGGTAAGCCGGATGTGGAGCGCACCCAAGCGGAGTGGGATTGCGGTTTTGATTTCATTGAGGAGCAAGGCCCTCGGGATCATGTCAAGAATCGCGTCTCGAGGTGGATCACTATTCAGACCTCCCAGAAGGATTCCCCCATCTACAAGTGGTCACCTGTTCCAGTGGAGAAGAGCCTTCGCAGACGGTGTCCTCGCAAAGGTCATTGAGGTTTGGCCCCTGACCTTTTAAGACCTTGACGCACGCATCCCCAAAACCCTTGGCACGTTGTTCAACACGCTACAGGAGAAGGCGCTCGGTTTCCATGGAATCCCCGGCAGAGGCGAAACCCGATCGATTGCGATGGCGCTTTCTCGGTATTGGATCGCGGAATTGAGGCAGACCGGCGAGGTAACCCCATCGCTTCGCCAAGCATCCGAGTTCGATTTTTCCGTGGTTCTTGGTATGCATATACAAGAGTAAATAATCTATACGTTACCAAACAGGTGCAACAAGTTACCATTTCGGTTTGGACATGCAAATTGTCGTTGGCTGGGTTCACGCAGACAGAAAACTTATTATTCGATGTTGCATGCTTCATTTTTTAAGGACACCGGTACGCTCACCAGACCCGACATTTTTGACGACGGCACTCCGTCAGAACAGCCATTCAAGAAAGCGAAACCCTTTACGGACGTTGGAAATATCGAGTCCATGTCCAAGGGTCAAGGGGCAGGGAAGAATCTATTGTGTGAACGACTGCGACGCCAAATCCGAGCCACCCCTCAGGCTTTCCTCGAGATGTTGGAGTCGGCATGGTACAGCAAAGAGGCATCCGAGTCGAATGTGATGGCCATCTTGAAACGAACGCATATCTTCGTGAACACCGCCACTTCGCTCTAAATCCGCCATGCATCCGAAAATGAACATCCAGTACTCCGCATTCCATTGGCTGACAAAACCGATTTTATCCATGCGGACTCGCATCGTTTGTGATTACCACGGGAAGGGAGGAAAGGAGTTGCCCGCGGATTTCGACAAGAAAGTTGCATGGGAAGCTGATTGGGTTCGCAAGGCCATAGCCGGTGAGAAAAAATTGCCATACAGACCCACAGCTGTGCGCAGAGGCTGTTTGTTCTCAAACGTGGCGTCGTCGTCGGCTACACCTACATATGACAGCGATGAAGCCACCTCCAGGCTCAATGCTGAGTTGTGCCGCAGTTTCACAGGTGAACTTCCGCATCATGCTCGTGATGTCGCCCCTTCCACGACTTCCAAGGGCCCTTCGGTGAAGTTGGAACACCCCTCCACCCCAATTCGAGTGAAGAAGGTGTCCACCCACCCAGCAAGGCTTCGCAACGCAAGCCCGTCGGGTAGCGGATGAGTGCGCAGGTCGCCCCATCGAAATCCATGATTCGCCCTCCCCCAAGCCGAAATGCGTGATCAAGCAGGAGCTCCCAGTAAACTCGTTTGCTACATTGACTACAACCCCAAAGGGCTTCACCATCGACATCGAGGACACCCCCGAGAAGGATGTGAAAGGCGTGGAGATGCTCGTTGATGAAGAAATGAACGGGGACGATGCGGGCCAGGGAATCATGGAGGGCAATGCGCAGGAGAACCACATGGGCAACACGGACGACAGCATGGCGCACACCGATATCGGAGACGGCAGTTCAGTGGGGTCGGAAACGGATGTGGATGAGTCATGAGTGATGCAGTCTTGTGTCCCTTAGTCCCTGTGAGAATGCAGTAAGCGAGCCAACTTATGTGGTAGATTGCGATACGTGCCACAACTCGTCCTCATGTTCCCACTGCAACGCTATGAAGGGCCATGGTACGAGTGCATGTGTGTGTTTGTTGGTTAAACTCACACATAAGACTTTGATTGACATCTCGCGCGATGGTGTGGCAACTTCGAATATTGGAAAGTCTCACAGACAGTATGCCCGCAGACCTCACACAGTTTTGGAAACATGTATAAGAAATCACTCCTGCTAAGACGTGCTCTTGTAAAGCGGGCATGACGCGACCGCGAGCGTTGCACGGGATTCGCTGATGTTCTTCGCAGTTTTGGGTGTTCGAAGAACTTTCATCGTTTCAAAGCCATGCCGAAGAAGACATATCCCAAAAGCCTCAAGGCCAAGTCCAAAGGACCGTGGCCAGTTCACAAAAGGGGTCAAAACAAGGGCCAATGTCAAGAAACCGCCAACGAAGACCATGAAGAGCTCGACTACGGTGTCTTATGTCCGTCATGGGGAAATCACTACGAAATCCAGGGCTCATGGCGCACTGTGGGGTCATTCAATCGAAAAACCTCACGGCTATGCCCTACAAGAAGCTCGCGCACAGACTCCAACGAGATGGCATCCTTCGGAGGACAGGCCAAGTGTGTCCTCGGTGTGGTGTAGGAAAGCTGGGCAAGATGAAGTTCGTGAAGGCACGCCAAACGTGGATGCACCAGTGCTCATCTCGCGGATGCAACAAGTACGTCCAACCGGCTGGCTTTCGTGCGATTGTCTTCCGTGGTGCAGGCTCATCGGTGACACCCCGCTATGTCCGAGTTTGCATCTTGCACGCTGCACTCGCAAGGGTTTCAGTCAACTCCGCCCACCTGATTTTGAACACAGACCACAAAGCAGTAGAGCGAGTGTACGCTAACTTGGATGCTTTTTACGGGAGTACATCGGGTGAGCTTCGGAGGGATGTTGAGGCTGACGAGGTTGATGTGGGAAAGGAAAGGCCTTGGAGGAAGACAATGACCAGAAGCCCAAGCTCCGTTGGGAGCAATGGTGTGGGGTCGTGGACCGGGGACGACCGTCGTCATTGCGATTGTTTAGGTTTGTGTGTGTGTGTGTGTGGGTGTGTGTGCGTGTACGTGTTCCTGTAGTTTGCATGCATGGCTCCGGCCAAGTTCCACTTGTGTGTGTGTGTATGCGAAGGTCAGAGTATGTATGTGTATTGACTGATTTACTTGAAAATACTCGTGTCCACATGCGACTTACTTGTTCATTTGCATGTGAAGTAGGTATATATGCAAACAGAAGGTCATGTTCCAAGATATCCTGTTATGTTCTTGTTCTACTATTGTTGTTTGTTGTGATATAGATATGTTTTTTGTGTTCTGTATATGTCGGTGTATTATGTCATGATGTCTTGTGGCAAGTTGCACTGCTTTCTGCAAGGTTGTCCTTTGTCGGGGATGTTGCTGTAGTATACTGCCGTTGTTCATGTACTTCTACATGTAGATGCCTACATGTGGTGGAATGCCCGACATTAAGCCAGCCATGTTTACATGACTATTATCTGTATATCTGTGTGTGTATCTGTAAATACATACTTATTTTATCACGTAGTTGGTAAAAAGGTGCACACATATACATATACATATACACACCAGATGTACAGGAAGACAGATAGGTAAGTTCGTATAGTGAAGATTTTTCTGTGTGTCTATGTCTGTGGTATCTTGTTCATCTGTATGGTTGACGCTCTGTTCTTGCACTTAATGGTAATGCATGGACAGTTGTACGTGCACACATCTATGTGTGTATATATATAGAGAGAGAGAGAGGGAGAGGGAGAGAGAGAGAGAGACAATGGGGAGGGAGAGAGAGAGAGAGTGCGAAGGAGAGATATACAGAAAACTACCGATGCAAAGGCTATTCTCAAGCCGACACCCATATGATTATATGTGCGAAGTTTTCAAGTCCTAGCAATTTCATCAAGTCTTAGCAATTTCCTGGGCTCAGGCCATATTGGTCTCCTGTGGGATTTCAGAGTTCAGAATCAAGCTTGAATTCCCCAGCATGCAATGCCCGAAAAATCACCGACGCAGACACACACCAGTA